TCCGCGCAAAATTACGCGTTAAAGTTATAATTATTTTTGAATTTTATCATGTAATTATCATATTATATTTTTATAAATATATATATGATTTTATACATTCTATCATGTAATGATCGTATTTAGAATTAAACCAAATTATATTTATATGTAAGTTATACATTCAATTATAAATTTGATGTTGAAACAATTAATTAGATTTCCAAAATACTTAAGGTGTAGATGTGGTATTGCCATATCAACCATATTATGTTTCCATCTTTGTTTTTATGCTTCTCATATCATTTAAATTTAAATTTAGAATCCAATCCGCGCAAAATTACGCTTCTAGGGTTATTCATACATTATTTCGTTCAGCATTTAAATTGAATCTTTAAATCATATACCATAAATAATTATGTAAATTTTTTCCAGTCAAATTACTTTTTAATAAATATATATTTAATCATTTACCTTTGATTCTATAGTTAATGTTGAAAACGTTTTATTTAGGAATTTATTTATCAGATACTACTTTTTGGAAATACTTTCATAATTACTTATTTATATATACTCAATTTTTGGCATATAATTAAAATTTACTTTCTCAGTTTTTAAGTACTTGTTTATATAAGCAAGTAATTAATTGTTTAACATAAATGTTGACTACTGTACATTTTGGAAACACATTTATAATGAAAAATTTTAAAAAATGCCAATTTTCGAGTGTCATTTTACAAAAATGTCACACTTTTGTAATATTCACAAAAATGCCACTTTTTCAAAATTAGTTTTTCATTATATTATTTATGTTTGAGTTAATTATGTTCTATTAGGGTTTAGTTATGAGGGTTTATGGGGTTTTAGGGGTCAAAACAGTTTTTAGGGTTTAGAATTTTAAGATATAGGTTTTATAAATCTATAATTAGTGGCATTTTTGCAAATTGACACCCTCTAAGTGGCATTTTTGCAAATGTGCACACAAAAAATGGCATTTTTGTAATTGTCCATTTATGATTACTTGTCTTTGATAGACTCTATGATGAACCAAGCCGTAAGTGGGTTATCGAGAGATGATTCCTATTTCCTAATAGTGAAAACGTACAATGTATCTCCAACAATCTCTACATTTTGTTTTATATGAACATTAAATTATGATTTTCAATAATCAATTCACCATAATATATATTTATTTATTTTAAAAAGATTATGTTCATGTAAATGATTAGATGAAATTTTTTTTTTCCGTAGTGTAGTAGATATAAAAGTTAGGTTACATGAAAACGGAAACGGATATAGAGTAGCGAAACATTTTCAAACGTAGAAACATCTTTCGAAAAGTATAATTATGAAAATATTGTAGAAATGTATTTATAGTATACACAATGGAAGCCTTGGTACGACGATTGGTTTGAACTTGAAACATTAATTGATGTTGTTGAGGGTTTATTGATATAGGAATTCCAAGTAATGTAGGTTTGGTCCTAGACACACATAGAAGCACCAGACGACATCATATCAAAAATCTCAACAGAATAAAAAATATAACTCATGAGCTACGACTGTGGAGACAATTGAATGGAGGTGATATTCATTTGTGGCGAGCCAAGCCTGGTAAGTTTGTCAAAAATTCCAGTTATGTGCAACGAAAAACAAAGTGGTTTGGTGTGGATTATGGTTCAAGCTTACTACACCAAAATATTCTCGTACGACTTGGTTAGCTACTCATAATCGCACAACTGGTGATCGTATGGCTTTGTGGAACACTGGACTCTCATCGGTTTGTATCTTTTGTAGACACCCTATGGAAACGAGAAACTACTTATTTTTTCGTTTCCCGTATGCTTCTCAAATCTGGGTCTTTAGCTCATGGTCTTCTTCTCCAAGCTTTTGTCTGTTTATGAGAATTAATCATTCCTATTGTGTCGGATACAAGAAGACCATTTCTGAAAGGTATTTTATAAGATATGCTTTCCATACCATTGTTTACCATGTGTGGAGAGAAATAAATAATCGCTGCTATAGGGAACAACCTTCCACACCGGATAAGATTATTCAAATCACGTAGAGAAACATCCGAAATAGGATTAGTTTTGTTCGGAATGATGATTGCCTGTTTAAGAAGGGTCTCGTGCTTTGGTTTGGAGCTCAGAATGTCACTTAATGGATCTACATCATTCAATTGATCTCGGTTTGTTCGGTCTCTCTGTTTACGCATTTTCAACTTTTGTTTGTTCAATTTTTTTTTCCAATATACTTTGAAAAGAAGATACATTTTATGTAACAAAGTTTTTGATCTGAAAATTTTACATCTTTTAAATTAAAAATATATATATATTGACTATCAGTTTGGTCTAAAATTGGTCAAAAACAGTTATTTCTGACTAATACTTGACCAAAATCGATTCATCAAAAATCGATGGTCGCAAATGAAATTTGATCAGAAAATAGTCAAAACGTTTTGACCAATAAAAATGGTCAAAGTTTTGATTATGACCAATAAAATCGTCAAAATTNTTTGNTCAATCAAAATGGTCGGAACTATATATTTTGACCAATTTTAGACCATATATTCTAACCAATTTTTGACCAANTTAGATATTTAAATTTTAGAACTATATTTTNATCAATTCGAAAANNTTNAAATTNAAATTTAAAATATTTGATTCATAATAATTAAAATTAAATTAAATATTTTTTAAAAATTAAAATATAAATATTTCAAAAAAATATATTCGAAAATATAAAATTCAAATTTAAAATATTTGATTTATAATAATTTCAAAATATT